TTCCCTTTCAAACCTCATAAAATTTTTATACCCTACACAACTATGTTGTCAGGGTATTATAGCTTTGTGCAGCCCCAAGAGTTTGTAACGCCACGAAATATTGGTCATATACCCACCTTTAAGTATACCGATCGTCATATCTCGACTAGCTGAGTCGATCTAGGCCACAGTTATGGACCAATCTTCACGAAATTTTGCATGTAGGAAGGGTTCGGCTCAATGAAGACCCCTATTGTTTTTGGTAAAGATCGGTTAATAATTAGGGGATGAAATGGACCAAATACTTAATTTTTGTCGGTTTTTCTGGTCGCAATTATGGCCCAAACATCTCGAATTTTTACATGAAGAAGGGGATTGGGCCAAAGAATAAGCACGCCTGTTTTGAAAAAGATCGGTCAATATTTAGCGGGTCAAATGGACCCTGACTTTTGTGTGAAAACTTACAAAATTTGTATTTGGACATAGAGCCGAGAAGTTAATAGTTTATCCAAGAGGAGTGATTGGCTTTAAAATTGATACCAATTATAGTGCCGTATGTACACGGATGTGGGAGCTATACGTAAATATTTACAGGTACTTACGTGTACAGATATATTTAATAAACCATTACCACACTAGAGGGCGGAATGATAGCGCGGATCGCTTTGACATTTTCCATGAGGTTCCAGTTATGGTCAAGAACAACGCCTATAATTTTCGGTGATGATCAGATAATTATTTTGGGATGAAGTGGACCGAAAACTTATTTTTTGTGTTTTTTTTTTTTGATTCGATCTATAGGCTACTATTATAAGTCGAACATCACAACACAACCCACGGTGAAGGGAATGTGGACAAGTAATTAGAAGGGCTGTACTGAATATTGGTAATATTCGGAAAATATGTCAGTGTAAGGAAGAGGTGCTGTTGACCTCTAATCGGTAAAGAGGGTGCAACTATCACGAAATATTACCCAGGCTCGGAATAAAAATCCGCAAAACAAATAAAGTTCTGTGGTAGTTGTGTAGGGTATCGTATGGTCGGCCTCGTCCGACTATACTGCTGGCATGTTCAAAGGTGCCCCACCCATGGCATTTTACGGAAATGTATAATAACTTTTTTGTAATAAATATATATGAAAGAAATAACATTAGTTATGTTTGAAATGATTATTGGAATGCAAAAAATTTGTTTAACGAATAAAAACTTTCACAGAATTCTTCCTGCGCCCTTACAACCAAACGAATAAAAGTTTACAATTACACTGCGAAAACCTGGTCACCCATGTACAATTTGTCGACAACTGAAAAAGCTAGCCAAAATGATCTACGCAGATAATGAACAAGATTGCCATATACAAAAATGTGGTAGCGGGTCGGAAAAAATTTAAACCAAGATTTTATGAGCGCTGTTCAAAGGTGCCCCCCTCTCCCCTACGAATTTCCAAAACTTCCCATATACCCCAATATTAATTCTAAATTTCAGGATTCCAACTCTATCGGTTCACCTAAATCCAAATTTTATGAAATTTTTTACCATTTAGAACACATAAGTACAAATGTCCATTATTACCTACATCCTACACTCTAATGGAAATCTTATTATCCAGTTTAAGGATTTCAGCTCTATCGTTTCACTGTAAATCCAAATTGTACCAAATTTTGTGTCATTTAGTACAGCCCAATCCAACACTCTATTGCTTCACCAAAAATGCACATTTCCAAAATTACACACATTCCAAAATTCTACGCTGCAAATTGTATCAAATTCAGTGCCATTTAGTACCCATAAGTATGGACTTTCAAAACTTCAACCATAACCTAATCCTACAATCCAACAATAATCTTATTTCCACATGTCTGTGTTCCAGCTCTATCGGTTCGCCTAAATCCACATTGTACCAAATTTAGTACCATTTAGTACGCATTAGTAGAAATTTTCAAAACTTCCTACATACCCCAATCCAAAACCCCAAAAGTGATTCTTACCCCTAATTTCAGGATTCAAGCCCTATTGGTTCAACCAAAAATTCATACAGTATTTTTCGGTTAATTGAACCTACGGTTAATTGGTTTCCACGCTTAATTGAACCACATGATGGGGCAACAAATATTTCATAGGAAAATACATGTAAATTTTCTCGGATAATTAAACCCTGTTAATTGATTTTCCCGCTTAATTGGTTCAAAATTCATGTCATCAAAAATAAATTTCCCTTTACTTTTCACCGTTAATTGCACAATAATAATTAAAAAATAATCTGCCATTTTTTACATACATATTTGACATAATTTGTGAAAAAGTGTAGGTGGCATCTTTACTAATCCAAAACATGTGTTTATTGCTAAGGGAAAACTTCGAGAAAGCGTAATTTGTATTTGACATTGGATTTTTTTAAATCATTAGTAGTTCCAATTATACGTGATTACTGTAATTGAACCAACTATTCAATTAAGCGGGTTCGGATAATTGGTTCCTCGGTTAATTGAACGAAAATTTGTGCAAATTTTGATGTGCAATTAACCGAAAAATACTGTATAGTACCAAATTTAGTACACATAAGAACGAATTCCCCAAACTACCAACATTCCTCAATTCTACAATACAGTAGTAATCTTACCTGCGCAATCCATATTACAAAATTTCAGTATTCAAGCTCTATCGGTTCACTCAAATCCAAATAAAGTATCATTTAGTACTTTTCAAAATACATTACATACAAACTATCGCTATCCTATACTCCGACGGTAATGTTGATTTCAAAATTCAGGACTTCAGTTCCATCCGTTTCTCCAAATTCAAATTGTACCAAATTGAGTACTGTTTAGTACTTTTCGTATAGATGAGTACACATTTTCAAAACCACCTCCTACTTCTCAACCTTCGCATTCCTCAATGACCCTAAATCCAATTTTCTAGGTCCACCGGTTCGCAAAATATAAATGATACCACGTTTAGTACTTTTCATGCCGTTCTACTCCGAATTTCCAAAAATCTAGCCTTATCTGACACCTTTGGACTAAGAGCGATCCTCACCCCAAATTTCAAAATTCTAGCTTCAGCCGTTTCCTCTGGGCGTTGATGAATCGTTAAGTCAGTCAAAATATTTACACTTGATCCTTGTCGGGGAGGTACCAGAAGGAGAGGACCGATAGGTCCTACCTTCGGACTTGATCTTGGCTTGGTATACTTAGTTGCAAAGTATGGTTAAATCGCACATTCCATTTGCCTGATATTGAATTTATAAATATTGAAAATTTTGACTATTTGTGTGGTAGGTAGCAGAAGGAGTAGACCAAATGGGTCCCATCTTTCGACTTTATCTAGGCTTGGAAAAGATAATAGATTGTACAAAAGATTGATGCAAATCGGACATGTCATTCGCCTGATTTTACATTTATAAATATTGAAAATTTTGACCATTTGTGGGGTAGGTATCAGAAGGAGTGGACCTAAATATTAACCCATCTTTCCCCAAAACAATAGGGGTCTTCATTGAGCCGAACCCATCCTACATGAAAAATTTCATGAAGATTGGTCCATAACTGTGGCCTGTATCGTGTTTACAAATTATAATGGATAGACGGACGGACGGACGGACACACATGTCTAGATCGGCTCAGCTAATCGAGATATGATGATCGGTATACTTAATGCTGGGTCTAGGACCAATATTTCGCGGCGTTACAAACTTTTGGGGCTGGACAAAGCTATAATACCCTGACAACATAGTTGTGTAGGGTATAATTAATTATTAGTACAATTTTTACCAAATTATGGGGAGATACCAGTAGGAGTGGACCGATATTCCCCATCTTCGCCATTACGATGTGCAAAATTGGCAAATAGCGCTAGCTCCCTTCGAGAGTTATTGTGCCCACCAGCCAGACTGACATACGGATATTTTTAAATCGACTCCAAATTGTCTGAAACGGATTTGCTCTAAAGAAACATGGGGTCTAAAAGCAATATTTCGATGAGACACATTTTTGCCGTATCAAAGTACTATTCTATGTAGGCCAACTAGAGGTGCCATCCTCCCCAAAATACCAAGTTACATATTTGAATTGGGCGTTTATTTTATTGTCATAGCTATTCGCCCATCATTCGTCACCAGTTTTAGACATTTTGAGGTAACCTAAAGCGTCGTTGACGATGATCAACAATTCTTGAACTCCTGAGAAATGGGAATAACACTAACATTGATTCTAATATAGGCGAAGTCTTTACATTCGAAGTGATGTCCAGGGATTTTAGCAATAATTTGTATATATTTTTGTAGTACTGACCTTGTTGCTTCCCACTGTACATTGGAGTTTCGCAAACCTTTTGGCAATGACCCCGAAAATGTCCGAAATCATCATAGTTGAATAAATTACAAACCTCGTAATACAATTTGTGACACAGTTTCCAAAAATTAAAACTCTTCCGCATTTTATGTTCCGATGCACTTTCTCCATTTAATTTTTTCTGTCGTGAAATTTCAACTATTTTTTTTTATTTTCTTCTTGTTACCGGTGGCAACCTAATTAATTGTGTGGTTCCACGTAATGCTGCCAATGAAGCCATCTGTAATTAATTGAAAAAAAAAAATAAATAAAAATAAAAAACAAATGGACTGAACAGCAAACAATGCATAGGAGCAAATCCTTTTCTGGCCACAGGTGGTCATTAATCTGGATTTCACTCAAGCAGGTCTAAATGGGTTTTAATTGTCGCCTCACTTTTTGTTAGCTTTCCTTTAATTTGGTATGCATTTTTATTGTCTTGTTAATTATTGTCTGATATGTTGTTATACACGAAAGCATTTCTATTAAAACAAAAGTTGTAGTTCCCTTGAAATTGTTTGATGCGGGATCGGGGGAATGAACAATGTATTGTTCATATAAAAACAGTTTGATCTATCATCTGTCATATTAGATTGTGTTCAGATCGCCTACAAGTCAAACAAAACAAAAAATAAATTCATCTTAAAAGTAGATAATCCCCGACATTATTTCAAGTCTATCGAAGTTGAAAAAATGATTAAGTCGGTAAGTGAGAAAAATTATAAGTAATATTAATAAATTATACCAGTAATCGGAGCAGTGTAGTCGGACGGGACGGTATATATGATAACCTACACAGCTACCTCTGAACCCATAAATTTTCGCAGTATTTACATTTTTGTATTGTGCACTTAAGAAATAAAAAGATATGTTGACTCCATTAAAAACCAGTAAGGAAAGTAGTAAAGTCGGACATATGTATCCGAAAAGACGTCGCCTTTTTGAACGAATTTAGACATGAAATTGAACGAACTTAAATATGTCTTTCTGGAACCTATGCTATGCGATTGCGCACAGTGGGACAGGTTTATGTAAATCGATTTAAAGCAAACTTGACACATTCTATTCGGTATGCTGCACTGTTCAAAAATTTAATCTCTATCAGACACCTATTGATTATTTGGTGAACAATTAATAAGTCGAAATTATATATGGAAGCTACCATATATTTATATCTGAACCGATTTGAAGCAAACTTGCCAGAGATTAATTTATATTAATTTCAGTACGTTGTGTCAATCGGCCTAGCTGTGGATCTTTAGTGCACAATTTACTTAAAATCGGACGAAAATATATACGCTAGGCCAAAACTCGTGCAAATTGAATGATTTTCAGAGACTTTGGTGCACCTTTTACCTAAAATCGGACGAAACTATGTATGGAAACTATATCTAAATCTAAACCGATTTTCACGGAACTTAGCGCACATCATTCTAGACTTAATTTAGTACGGGACTTTGGTGCACCATTTACCTGAAATAGGGCGAAACTATATATGGAAGCTATATCTAAATCTGAACCGATTTTCAGGAAACATAGCACATGTCATTCTAGACTTTATTCAATACGTTATGCCACAATTCGTGCAAATAAAATGATTTTCAGGGACTCTGGTGCACCATTTACCTAAAATCGGGCGAAACTATATATGGAAGCTGAACCGATTTTCAGGAAACTTAGCACACGTCTTTCTAGAATGAATTCAATACGCTATGCCAAAACTCATGCAAATGAAATTATTTTCAGGCACTTTGGTGCACCACTTACCTAAAATCGGGCGAAACTATAAATGGGAGCTATATGTAAATCTGAACCGATTTTCTGCAATTTCAATAGGGTTCGTCCTTGGGCCAAATAAGTGACATGTGTCAAATTCCATCCAAATCGGATCATAAACGCGACCTGTACTTTGTTCACAAAAATACATGGACGGACAGACGGGCGGACATGCATAAATCGACTCAGAAAGTGATTCTATGCATATTCTCAAAAGGAACCATGGGTCTATCTCGATTATTTTTGTCTGTTACAAATATATGCACAAAGACATAATACCCTCTACCACAGTGTGGTGAAGGGTATAAATATGCAAAAAAAAATGTCAAACACTCCTCTCGGACATACTGCCAACTTAAGTGTTCTATATATTTCCGGTGTATTGGGTGAAAAGTCTGTGTCCAATTGAACTCCAAAATATTAAAGGATTGTCATCAAAGGGACATGCTTATATCCTCACAATATCCGCTCTCTGTTAAACCACGAAGTGGATATTCAAAATACTTATAATCGAATGGGGGCTAGGAGGAAACTACATACTAAACTCCAGACATCCGGCTATGACACATGGTCGACCAAAGGATATTTATAACTCCGATATAGAAATTTGTCACTCGATTGGAGTTAATATTATACAATTACAGACAATTCGGTTGAAACGCGTGCTCAAATACCGAATATTGGTGTGTAAAGCTATATCCGGGCTATAGGAACAGATATTGATAATTTCACACCCAATAAAAACTTAAAAGGTAAATTAGAGCCAATTCCTTTGAAAAACACCTCACAATTTCCCAAAGAATACCGAATAGTGGGGGTACCGCTATATAGGGGCTATGCCAAGAAACCAAACATCCAAGGTGCAGTAACAATGTGTTCAAAATTTCAAAGCTTTACCTTAAATATTGCTAGGTCTATCGTGATTTTAACGATATAGAATTTTCAAAATAGCAATGAGAGACCTATTTTGAAAATTCTATATCGTCCGTATGTTGAAATGATGTTTTTTATTTCCACTAAGTAAATCCATATATTTTTCCATTTCCTACTTAGGGTATTCTACTGGTACTTGTCTGCAGTTATCATTCCTCGTTGGCTGGATATATTGGTGGCGGTGGCGGTTATTATGGTGGCCATGGAGGAGGAGGTGGTGGCGGAGGCGGTGAAGGTGGATATGGTTTAGTAGCTGCTCCGGTTGTGGAAAAAGTTATATATGCTAAAGTGGCCCCAGCCCCAGTAATCAAAGTGGTTTATGGCGGTTATGGTGGTGAAGGAGGTTTTGGTGGCTATGGAGGTGGCGGTGAGGGTGGTTATGGCGGTGGTGGAGGAGGAGGCGGTAAAGCTGGTGGTGGAGAAGGAGGTTATGGGGGCTATGGCGGAGGAGGTGGTGGTGGTAAAGCTGGTGGTGGCGGAGGAGGCGGTGAAGGAGGTTATGGTGGTTACGCTGGTGGAGGAGGTGGTAAAGGTGGTTATTCAGGTGGATTTGGTTTTGGCAAAGGAGGTTTTGGTGGCTACGCCGGTGGTGGTGGCGGAAAAGGCGGTTATGGAGGCTATGGTGGCGGAGGTGGTAAAGCTGGTGGTGGCGGCGGAGGTGGTGAGGGTGGTTATGGAGGCTATGGCGGTGGTGGCGGAAAAGGCGGTTATGGAGGCTATGGTGGCGGCGGTGGTAAAGCCGGTGGTGGTGGCGGAGGTGGTGATGGTGGTTATGGAGGCTATGGCGGCGGTGGTGGTGGTGGCAAAGCTGGTGGTGGTGGAGGAGGTGAAGGAGGTTTTGGTGGTTACGCTGGGGGTGGAGGAGGTAAAGGAGGCTATCTCGGTGGTGGTGGCGGAGGAGGCGGTGGTAAAGCCGGTTATTCTGGGGGAGCAGGTTATTATACTGTCTCCTATGGCGGTTGGTAACATGTGATTTATTTTTGTCAATAATAATTATTTTTAAAATTTTATAACAATTAAATCAATTCATAATATTTGTTATTATATAATTACTAAAATTGCTCTGTTAACGACATTTATTAATAATAAATATATTATTTTTGGAAAAAGTAAAACAAAACAGAAACCCAAGTAAAAACGAGACCAAATTTGTACGGTGGTTGTTTAGTTAAAATAAGGGCCATGGTTGAAAATTGCACCCAATGGATTTTTAATCATTTGGGTTGCAAATCCTAGGGCCATCTACCAAAATTAGGGGAGAATATTCTGTCGAGTTTCCCGTGGGAAATGTATTGTATTGGGGTCTATAATAATATCAAATCCTGGATGTAGTGCTACATAAGCATTTTTTTTCATAGAATACCTGAATATGGGCTTTCTTCAATCAATGATCTACAGGATGTTGTCTATATATAGTAGATCCACTGAATGTATTTTTTTTTAGTTGAAACACTACTTACACTATAGAAGATCTACTAGAGATATTTTACCTATGGAAACTTACTTCTGTAGATAATAAACATCCAATAGATCATTGACAGGACATCTATAGGTTTTACTCCAGATGGCTACTTTTCATAGAAGAATACCTCCTGCAGGTATGGTATTCATAGAATTCATACAGAAATTATTCAGTTCATAGATGACCCATAGAGGATATTATTTCTATAGAATACCTCCATGGGAAGATAGTATATCCATTGTTGCAATGACAGAAGGCAAACAGGATGGCGCCCTGATACTAGGAGGACTTCTTTAAATAGAACAGACGAAATTATATCAGCTGGTTTTCTATCGAGGGTATAGGTGACCTACAGAAAAATTACTATTTATATAATATCTGTAAAAGGAATCCTGGGCGTTACATATGTATTGAAGATTTGCCTAACTTTGGCTAACAAATCAAATACAATTGCATTTTTATACAAATTTTAATTATTATTCTTTTTTATATTTAAAAAAATCGAGGACTTTTTTCTTCTACAACAAAACAAAATACAAACAAATAAAATATTTAAATGGAAACATTTTCCAACATTACCCAGCTGGCATATTTACGACTTTCGATTGCCTGAGCCGCAAACTTTTTACCAACCATGACCATAACCCAAACCACCATAGGCCAAACCATGACCATAACCTAAGGCGGGTGCAGCATAACCTAATTTAGCAACAGGAGCTGCATAGGATATAGCAGGAGCGGCAGCGTATTTAGTGATGGCTGGTGCAGCATATGAAATAGCAGGGGCTGCGGCATACTTAGTTATAGCAGGAGCTGCATATGAAATAGCAGGAGCGGCAGCATATTTAGTTATAGCGGGAGCGGAATATGAAATAGCTGGTGCAGCATAAGAGATAGCAGGAGCCGCAGCGTATTTGGTAATGGCTGGAGCAGCATAAGATATAGCTGGAGCGGCAGCATATTTAGTTATGGCTGGTGCAGCATATGAAATTGTAGGGGCGGCAGCAATTTTTGTGTAGGCCGGAGCTGCATATGAAATTGCAGGGGCGGCAGCAATTTTCGTATAGCTTGGGGCAGCATACGAAATGGCTGGGGCGGCGGCATATTCAGGACCACCCAAATATCCGTGATCAAGTCCACCCAAATAACCTGGAGTTGCAGCGGCGCTGGCAACAAGTGCTAAGGACACAATTACCTGGAAAGTCATACAAAAAATTAAAGGTATTATAATTAGTATATTTTATTTTACACATACATATGTAATACAAGGATATTTATAATAAACATAGTTTTATTTGCTTTTTTTTTAATGCGCTCAAACAAATTTGTCGACTTCGGTGGAAGTTATTTTTATCGATGTCCGAAATTTCGTTGTCCGATGTCCGCGAATATGAAAGTCACTTACGGCAAATTGCACATCAATTATATGTTTTGGTTTCAACCGATGTGGGAGCATGCATTGTCATGATGGACAAAACGTCGTCTTCTCCTGTTCGTTTTTTCGAACTTCTTCGAAGTTTTCAGGCAAACAAATTGTGGTGTACACCGCAGAATTGAACGTTTCATGTTGATTGAGCGGAATAATTTCCATATGACCAGGTTTACAGGAGAAACGAAATTTAAAATTTGTTTCAATGCGCTTTTTCTACGAAGAAATTTCGTTGGATTTTGGATCCAATAATAGCTAACCTTTCTATCGATCAGGTGTTTATGAAATATCGAATGTATGCTGATAGAATAAATGTTTTGGCGTAGTCCCCATACAACTTGTTAAAACCCAATATTAGTACTTTTTGAAATCGAATTTGCTGTAATTTGGTATCTCATTGTATAGCAAGTCTTCCTACCGCAAAATATGAACATTAATTTACGTTTATTTACGCGCGATCCGCTGTATTATAGATATACTCTATATTTCCAACAAAAATGCTGTAATGTGACATTCCGGGTTCATGGCGTACCAAATTTTGGTATTTTAATGGTTTTATTAATTAAATTTCCCACCGAAGTGGTTGTAATTTGTAACATTGCACCACAGATTTAACCGAATTTTCCCACCAAAGTGACTGTAATTTGGGACCTGAAAATATCTGTCCAGATGCGTTCATCTTTTCCATTAAATGAAGAACTTGAATCTTTTTCGGTATTTTGAATGTTTAGACCTGCAGACCGGATGTAATGTGACATTCTAGGTTCCTGGTGAATAAAAACCTTTTCAAAATATGTTCCCATATAAAGGCACCGCTTAATTATACCCTACACAACTATGTTGTCAGGGTATTATAGCTTTGTGCAGCCCCAAAAGTTTGTAACGCCGCGAAATATTGGTCCTAGAACCACCTTTAAGTATACCGATCTCAAATCTCGGCTAGCTGAGTCGATCTAGACATGTGTGTCCGTCCGTCCGCCCGTCTGTCCATTATAAATTGTAAACACCATACTGGCCACAGTTATGGACCAATCTCCACGAAATTTTGCATGTATGATGTGTTCTGGCCAATTAAGGTCCCTATTGTTTTTGGAAAAGATCGGTTAATATTTAGGGGATGAAATGGACGAAAAACGTTATTTATGTCGGGTTTTCAGGTCGATCCAGAGGCCGGTATGCCAATGAATAAGCATACCTGTTTTGATAAAGATCGGTCAATATTTAGCGGGTCAAATGGACCCTGATTTTTGTCCGAAAAATTACAAAATTTGTATTATATGGCGTATTAATTTACTCCTGAAGGATATAGACCCGAGAAGTCGATAGTGCATCGAAGACGAGTGGTTGACCTTAAATTGATACCAATTATTTTGTCATATGTACTCGGATGTGGGAGTTACACTTAAATATTAACTGGTGCTTACATACTGAAATTTTATTTAGTAACCCATTACCACACTAAAAGGCGGAAATATAGCGCTGATCGTTTTGTAATTTTCCATTAGATTCCCGTTATGGTCAACGACAACACCTCTAATTTTCGGTGATGATCAGATAATAATTTTGGGATGAAGTGGACCGAAAACTTATTTTTGTGTTTTTGTTTTCGAGTCGATCTTTAGGCCACAATTGAAAGCCCAACATCACAACATAACCCACGGTAAAGAGAATCTGGACATTTACAACCCTCGTCTACTGAATATTAGGAATATTTGTTGACATATAGTCGGTCAAGAGGGTGCATTTATTCGTGGAAGTTGTGTAGGGCATCATATGGTCGGCCCTATCCGACAATACTGCTCCGCTCACTGGTTTTAGATATGTTGAAGTCAGCTTCCCAACCTGTGAGTTCGTATACACAAAGTTATTTTCGGGACCGAAGTCGAGTTAAAAACGCAGTTTACCCAAAATCAGAATTAGCCAAAAGATTACGTATTTTCCGATAGCAGATAGAATATCGAATTTGCAGAGTTCAAAAATCTCCCATTTTCAATATTGGGGTCGTTTTTTGGAATAGTCACACTGAAATGCATTTTCCATCCGATGTTGCTGTAATTTGGTATTTTTGGTTCTCCAAGCACCTCAGAAAATATTATCGATATTGGACCGTGTTTTCACATTGCATCCATGTTACAGTTTGGCCCGATTTTCATTGTATTGAAGGTACCAGTCATATTTTTAAAGTCATCTAGTTTGTATACTGGGATCTAGGAGGTTAAAAATCCTTTGGTTATGATCCCTGACATATGTCGCGAAATTTAATATAGGCTTTTAATTCGGATAAAATAATCTCTATATTCATTTGTTGCAATTATGAATATTGAATAATATTACCACACTTTATAGTCCTTTACTATTCTTTTCCAATGCAAAATGTCTTGCACTATTTATCCTTACAAATTTAAATTTTGTCTGCTTCCGTTTTCCAGAAACATTTCACATACACAATTTATTATTTACGCAATTCACAATTTTTTCTTTATTTCATAATTTATCCTTATATCCTTTTCACACATTTTTTAAATCTTACTTACAAACTTAAACATTTTTTTTAAGGGAATAACTATTCGCTGTTTTATCGAATTACTGCCGAGTTCTTTATGCTAAGAAAGCTTACTGGACTTTGGGTTTCTTGTTACAGTTGCCTATAGTATTTATAGCCGAAATATTGTGACTAGCTGTTCGTTTAGGTTAACAAAAAAATCACAAATAATAAAACAATAACAAAAACAAAAATCTTATGAAAAATCTATAAAATCTTGCAGTAACACCATGACCAGTCACCATGGCATCACTCAGTAGGCCTACTTCTAAAAGGTGTGCTAAAAATGTTGCAGCTGCGACATCGAACGACATACGGTGAGAAGTTTTATTCGTCATCTTCTGGTTACAGTTCGAGTTGAGTCGCGAGCAAATTTTGCACACATAACCCCGAAAATCAGCTGGTTTGAATGGCAGAATGTGGCCCCACCAACAACAAAACACTTTTACTTTGTTGTTGTTGTTGTTGCATCCACCTTTAACAATGTATCAAAGCCAGTGGCCAGTGATTTCAGTTCACAACATTTTCAATTGGTAACAATATTCAGCGGATTTGCAATTGTATGAAGATCAATGCAAACAATATTCAGGTGGAGTTTTTTTTGCTTTTCTTGGAAACGGACAAATGTTTGTTACGTTTGTGTGTGTCTTTATAATATATAAAATGATAATATGTAATAAAATAATACAAATGCTCATGTTTGTTTTTTATTTTCTTGGTATTACCAAATTAGTGGAAAACAATTTAAATTATTTTAATTGTGTTGCTGAAAGTAGAACTATTATTTGATTTTATAATAATTTTTGGTTCATTATTTTATAATAATTATACTAAATGTAGTCTAATTTGGATTACAAAATATGGTAATGACTAATTATTTTTTTGCAAAGGTGTGTGGTGTTATAAGCGAGGAAATGCAGATTTTTTCCGATTCAAAAGTTTAATCTTGGAATCATATTTGGACCCTCGTGAATTTATAAAACCCGTCCAATTTCAACGATTTTATTTAAATAAGAACTAGACAGTGGCGCAGTTTTTTAGCAATATTTTTCTAATATTGGAGTGATTTTTATACTCTACACAACTATGTTGTCAGGGTATTACAGGTTTGTGCAGCCCCAAGAGTGTGTAACGCGCGAAATATTGGTCCTAGGAACACCTTTAAATATACCGATCGTCATATCTCGACTAGCTGAGTCGATCTCGACATGTGTGTCCGTCCGTCCGTCCGTCTGTTCAATATAATTTGTAAACACGATACAGGCTACAGTTATGGACCCATCTTCGCGAAATGTAGGATGGTTTCGGCCCAATGAAGACCACTATTGCTTTTGGTAAAGATCGGTTAATATTTAGGGGATGAAATGTACCAAATACTTAGTTTTTGTCGGGTTTTCTGGTTGCTCCAGAGGCCGCAATTATGGCCCAAACATCTCGAGAAGGGGGGAGAAGGGGATCGGGCCAAAGAATAAGGATGCCTCTTTTGATAAAGATCGGTCAATATATAGCGGGTCAAATGGACCCTGACTTTTGTGTGAAAAATTACAAAATTTGTATTCTATGGCGAATATATTTACTCTTAAAGAACATAGAGCCGAGAAGTTAGTACTATATCCTAGGGGAGTGGTTGGCCTTTAAATTGAATTATAATTAATTAAATTATATTGTCGTATGCACTCGGATGCGGGAGTTACACTTAAATATTTACGGGTGCTTACGTATTCAGATATTATTTAGTTAAACATTACCACACTAGAGGTCGGATATATAGAGCTGATCGCTTTGAAATTTTCCATGAGCATCCAGGTATGGTCGAGCACAATGCCTATAATTTTCGGTGATGATCAGATAATAATATTGGAATGAATTTTCGACCGATTTAATGTAAATGGTGCACCAAAGTCCCTATATATCGTTCGATTTGCACGAAATTTGACACAGTGTAATGAATTAGGTCTAGAATGATATGTGTTAAGTTTTCTGAAAATCGGTTCAGATTTAGATATACCTCCCATATATATTTTCGTCCGATTAAATGTAAATGGTGCACCAAAGTCCCTATATATCTCTCGGTTTGAACGAAATTTGGCACAGTATAATCAATTGGGTCTAGAATGATGTGTGTTAAGTTTCCTGAAAATCGGTTCAGATTTAGATATAATTCCCATATATATTTTCGTCCGATTAAACGTAAATCGTGCACCAAAGTCCCTATATATCGTTCGATTTGCACGAAATTTGGCACGACGGTGTGCTCAATTGAGTCTAAAATGACGTGTGTTAAATTTCGAGAAAATCGGTTCAGATTTAGATATAGCTCCCATATATAGTTTTGGCCGATTTTATGTAAATGGAGCACCAAAGTCCCTACATATCTTTCGATTTGCGCAAAATTTAGCATAGTGTACTGAATTGAGGCTAGAATGATGTGTGTCAAGTTTCGAGAAAATCGGGTCAGATTTATATATAGCACCCATATATATTTTCGTCCGATTTAAGGCAAATGGGCCTCCAAAGTCCCTATATATCTTTCGATTTGTACGAAATTTGGCATAGGGTACTGAATTAGGTCCAGAATGATGTGTGCTTAGTTTCGTGAAAATCGGTTCAGATTAAGATATAGCTCACATATATATTTTCGTTCGATTTAATGTAAATTGTGGCCGACCGGCACAACAACCTCTTATATATTCTTTCTCTCATGACAAGTGTATTTACAGAAGTTTTCTGGCTTTTTCTGTATTTGTATTTACACTCGATGTTGTTGTTCTGCATGTTTATGGGGATTTTCGTGCTTTGAGATGCAAATCTGTCCCTACCATAGCTCGTGTGTTAAGTTTCGAGAAATTCGGGTTAGATTTAGATTTAAGTTCGTCCAATTTCATATCAATGTTCCTTCGAGAAGGCGACGACTTTTAGAATACATATGTAGAATATACCCCAAGTGATGAAGGGTATCATATAGTCGGCCCAGTCCGACTTTACTACTTTCCTTACTGGTTTAAAATATTTTTGCAGCCACCGAAACAAGGCATGGATTTTGAAAAGTATTTTTCAACCACCACAATAAGCATGGATATTAGGACCAATACATGTTTTTAAACATTTTTTCAAGGACCAACGCTAAGAGTTTTATTTTCAAGGACCCATCCAAAGCGACGATAAAGGATCAACAGAAGCCGTGGATTTAAAAAAAAAATATTTTTTCAAATGCCTCCTACAGTCGAGGATTATTTTATAAATATTTTTTCAAATACCTATTACAGAAGTGGATTATTTTTCAAAGGCCTAGTACAGACATGAATTTTTATACCGTACACAACTATGTTGTCCGGGTATTATAGCTTTTTGAAGTACCAAGATTTTGTAACGCCGCGATATATTGGTCCTAGACCCTAGATCAAATGGACCCAGACTTTCGTGTGCAAAATTACAAAATTTGTATTCTGGGGCGTATATATTTACACCTGAAGGACATAGACCCGAGAAGTTGATAGTATAATCAAGAGGTGGTTTATCTTAAAATTGATACCATTTATATGTTTGTGTGTACTCGGATGTCAGGGTTATACGTCAGTATTAAAAGTTGTTTATACACCATTTGAATTCGTTATGCAATATTTTATATTTTTATTTAAATCGAGGAAATTTCCAATGAATATTTTACACAGTACAAATAATTCCGCTTTTCAATTAAATTTTTTCGAAGATCTATAAGCCCATAACTGGAATATTTTTTCATCCACTTTACCAAACATGTCCCAAGCCACCATAAGCCAAATTATGACCATAGCCTAAACCCAAGGCTGGTGCAGCATAACCAACATTAGTCAGTGGAGCAGCATATGAGATGGCTGGAGCACCAGCAATTTTAGTAATAGTAGGAGCAGCAAAAGTATTAGCATACGAAATGGCGGGAGCAGCAGCTATGGCATGACCACCCAAATAGCTGTGTGCCAAACCACCAGTCACATAACCAGGAGCCGCAACGGCACTGGCAATTACAGCCAACACAACAACAAGGATCTACAGATACAAAGGATGTACTAATTGAAAATAATTCGTATGTGGTTTAATTAAATTTACTCACAAATTTAAACATTTCTGCTGTCAAAGGATATCCTCTATTTGGGTGAGTTTACACAATGAATGTTGAATAATGTTTGCATATTTTGTTGAATTTACCAAAGGTTTATATAGCTAAGAAGTTTTTCATAAAAAATCTACTAGAATATTAGAAACTTTCTAAACTATTTGCAAATATGAACATTGTCATACATATCTCTATGTACATGTATTTACATATGTTTAATTTGTATTAGTAAATTGCAGTCGTATGAATTTATTTTGATAGAATATTGTCAAGAGCAACTGAAAATTATAGCTTTGATTTTGGCTTCATCAAAACCCAGCAATTATTTCGGAGATTAGAAATATAAAATCATGTTGAAATTAATTGAATGTCGAATCATTTTTTGGATAAAGTAATTGAGCAATTGAATTGTTTGCCGACGGTTATAATTTATGTTTGAAATTAATCTCCTCAATATGTGGTGCTTACGATTGGTATTAATAACATTGGTCTGAATGTGGAGGTTAATGGAGGATAAAACCCTGGGGGTTATGTGGTATGATTTAGATATATGGCTCATGTTTATAAAAGAAAATTGCACATGAACTCGTAGAAACATTATCCATGAAGTAATGGGATAGTATCCGAGGTTTGTTCAAGCTTGTGTGAACTCAGGAGTTTGTAAGACCACTAAAAATTTGTCCATATCCACCTATTTCTTAAACCATCTATGTCGATTTAACCGTTCTGTCTGTTGAAATCACGATGGAAATTGCAATATTTAAGATAGAATTTGAAAATTTTTCATTGGCATTGCTATTACTCCTAAGATGTTTGGTTTTGCGAACGAGATATATCGCTCGTTTTGGTATAACTCCCATACTACGATACCATTAAATATTTGGTATTATGGGGATGTTTGGCACATCTTTGACACGAGTTGGCTGTAATTTCCTATGCTTGGTTCTTATTGGGTATAAAATCTTCCTATCGAAAATGTTCAATGTTGGTCCACCTTACTTGGTATTTAGTAGAGTTTTGACATGATTTTTAACCGAATTGGATGTATTTTAGTACTTTGAATTCACATTGGTGATGCACTTTTTACAATAGTCCCAATATAATGGTGCCCGCCATTATACGGTTTATTGATGGTTCTGGATAAGTTTTTCAACAGAATCGGCCGTAATTTAGAACTTGGATTTATATTGGGTACCAAATCTGCCTACGAAAAATTATCAATATTGGCCTATGTTTCGGGGTAGCTCCCATATCACCGTACGACCCAATATTCAGTATTTTTATGCTTTTCAACCCATCCAGCTGTGATGTAGTATTTAGGGTTGTAACTGGGGTGAAAATCTTTCTACTGAAAATGATCAATATTGGTCCACTTTATATAGTATTCCCCATATAACGATACACGCGTTTCAACCAAATTGCATGTAATCTTATAATTTATTCTCTCATTGAGTAGAAAATCTCCCCACCAAAAATTAAAATAAAATATTGTTCCAGTTTCCAGGTAGCCCTCCTAATATGTTACCCCTATTATTCGATGTTCTGGGAGCTTGGACACCTTTTTCAGCCGTATTAACCCTAACGTGTTTTTCAGGTTCTGATGGAAAACATTATAAATTTTGGTTTACGTTTTTAAGGGCTCTAATTTTGCATTATGAGATTTCCGAAGTTTAAGGTCCAAGTTTTGATATAACCCCACATATCTGACCCGCGACCCCAGGGAATGATCTGTTTAAGGGACCAAAACCTTTTTTCTTTTTTATCTGTTGTAGTCGTTGCAGATGCCACAATTTTGGCACAAACATCGCAAAATTTTACAGGGGAAAGGGATCAAATCCACGAAGAAGCACGACAACTTTAAAATTTAGCAAATCATATGGACCTAAACGTTGTGTATGAGACATGAAAGGTAACTCCTTCTCGTAGATACCATGACATCTTGAACCATGAACCATGTCTCTATGAAATAATTTTACTAATTTTCACGCCAATGGAAGGTCCATTTTATCCGCCTAATATTGACTTATCATAATCTCCTAAACTAAGCGATCTTGATCACAAATTAAAGCTGTCGTCTTCGCCCTAAACCAAAACGTGGATCTAAGACCAATATGTTGTTTTCGTAGAGACTCTAAAATCGAAACATTTTGTAGGGAAGTATGACAAAACATAGGCATATATTTATGACAGTTGCACCCTCTAGCCCGATTAGAGGTCAAAAGAACCTCTTCCTTACACTGACATTTTTTCCGAATATTACTACTCATATTCGGCTTATAATCGACTCGAAAAAAAATTAGGTCTTAGGTCAACTTTATCCCAAATTTACTATCTGATCATAAACGAAAATTATAGTCGATGTCCTTAACCATAACTGGTACCTCATGGAACAAAAGTCAGGGTCCATTTGACCCGTTAAATATTGACCGATCTTTATCAAAACAGGCATGCTTATTCTTTGGCCCGACCCTCTTCTCCATGTAAAAATTCGCGATGTTTGGGCCATAATTACGACTTCTGGAGCGATCAGAAAATCAGACAAAACTAAAGGTTTTGGTCCATTTCATCCCCTAAATATTAACCGATCTTTATGAAAAACAATAGGGGTCTTCATTGGCCAAATCCCATCCTACATGCAAAATTTCGATTCATATATAACTGTTTACAAATTACGTGTTTACAAATTATAATGGACAGACCGACGGACGGACACACATGTCTAGATCGACTCAGCTAGTCGAGATATGACGATCGGAATACTTAAAGGTGGGTCTAGGACCAATATTTCGCAGCGTTACAAACTTTTGGGGCAGCATAAAGCTATAATACCATGACAATATAGTTGTGTAGGGTATAATAATTTATTTGTAAAATGTAGATAATCTTGTTCAGCTTTAGCCTTTAAATATATGTATATAACATAACGTCTTTAACCTCTTTTCTCTAGATTAACTTGTCGAAATATTTTGCTTGTTAAATTTTCATTTGAAAGTTATTTCTGGTACAGTAAAATAAGAAAAAACTCAAATATTATTGGAGTATTTAATTAGATGTCTTTTATTATTATCATTATTTACAATATATACACTCATTTAATAAATTGTCAATATAAATTTTTGTTTTAACCAAAAGGCACAACAATTCTCTCCTTCACACTCCATCCATCTCGCGCTCCTTCATTCTCAAGCATTTAAATTTAGTTTATTTATTTATTTTTTTCTCTCAAAAAGTAATTATAAATACTGTTAACAGTTTTCATGTTGGCACAAATTACCAACCATGACCATAACCCAAACCCAAACCGTGACCATAGCCCAAGCCATGACCGTAACCCAAACCGCCATAACCCAAACCATGACCCAGACCCAAAGCGGGAGCAGCATAACCGATTTTGGCAACTGGTGCAGCATACGAGATGGCGGGAGCAGCAGCAATTTTGGTAATGGCAGGAGCGGCATAGGAGATGGCAGGACCATGAGCAAGAGCTGGAGCGGCATATGAAATGGCTGGAGCGGCAATTTTAGCTGGTGCAGCATATGAAATGGCAGGGGCAGCAATTGCATGACCACCTAATAGACCATGACCACCGCCATAGCCTCCCAAACCACCCAAATAACCGGGAGCGGCAGCAGCGCTAGCAACCAAAGCCAAAGTGACAAGAACCTATGGGGAAAAATAATTTTGCGTTATTTATTAGCAAAAATTAATTAATAATTATAAAAGATATAATATTAGATATTTTATATAAAACTATCACCGAACTTCAAATTTCGGCAGAACTAAATTTCGAATCTTACATTTTCACGAAATTTTCATTTTGCATTATAATTTGTATAACTCACATATCTGAACCCTTACATCAAATAGATTTAATATCAGATTAGAGGTCCATAATTTCTCTTTCGTACACTGAAAACTTTTCAGAATCATATATTTCATTGTCGAGAAATAACGATCGGTATAGTATACCGATTTAGGGGTATCGTTATATGAGGGCTTACTCAAAAGTGGATCAACATTGCTCATTTTTCGGTAGAAATACTCGTTGAAAGTCGTGCCCACAAAAAAAACTGAAATTTATAAAGTACCGTTATATAGTTAACCAACTTTTGGGAGGAAAATGTATTACCCACTGAGGACACAAAATACCAAATTTTAGCCAATTAGGTGGGAAATCGTGCCCAAACTCCACAAAATATCGAATGTTTGGGGATGGCGTTATATAGGGGCTACCCGATGGGAATTATAACCAGTGAGCGGAGCAGTATAGTCGGACGGGGCAGACTATACGATACCGTACACAACAACCACGGAAATCTAACTTGCTGCAGATTTTTATTCCGAGCCTGGGCAATATTTCGTGATAGTTGCATCCTCTTGTCCGATTAGAGGTGAAAAATACATCTTCCTTACACTGACATTCAGCGTGGTTTGTGTTGTAATATTCGGCTTATAATTTTTGCCTATAGATCGACTTGTTTACACAAAAGTCAGGGTGCATTTGACCCGCTAAATATTGACCGATCTTTATTAAAACAGGCATGCTTATTATTTGGACGGATCACCTTTACCATGTAAAAATTCGCGATTTCGAGACTGGGCAATATTTCGTAATAGTTGCACCCTCTTGCCCGGTTAGAGGTGAAAAGCACATCTTCCTTACACTGACATTCAGGGTGGGTTGTGTTGTAATATTCGGCTTATAATTGATGCCTATAGATCGAGTTTTTTACACAAAAGTCAGGACGCATTTGACCCGCTAAATATTGACCGATCTTTATCAAAACAGGCATGCTTATTATTTGGCCGGATCCCCTTCTCTATGTTTGGGCCGTAACTGCGGCCTCTGGAGCGACCAGAAAAAACCGACAAAAATTTAGTATTTGGTCCATTTCATCCCCTAAATATTAACCGATCTTTACCAAAAACAATAGGGTTCTTCATTGGGCAAACCCCATCCTACATGCAAAATTTTGTGAAGATTGGTCCATAACTGTGGCCTGTATTGTGTTTACAAATTATAATGGACAGACGTCCGTCCGTCTGTCCAAATGTCAAAATCGACTGAGCTAGTCGAGATATGACGATCGGAATACTTAAAGTTGGGTCTAGGACCAATATTTCGCGGCGTTACAAACTCTTGAAGCTGCACAAAGCTATAATACCCATACTTGTGTAGGGTATAAATACCGAATATTTGGGGGCTAAATTGACATATTGACCGATATATTTTATTTTCAATATCAAACAAAATTTCAAAGCTCAAAACAAAATTTCAGATAGACACATAGATGCATAAATCGAAAGACATAGCTAAATCGAAATCGAGAATTTTATTGTGATCATGAGAGTATTTTTTATAGGATCTCCCATCTTCGCCTTGACAGAAATAAAAGCCTTCCTGCAGTTCGGCCAGACCGTACTTTTAATACCGTCTTAGAAAATTAAATACCAAATTACAGACAATATCTCACATAAGAGTCTTTTCGGTTAAAATGCGGCACACCTCAAAATACCGAAAAATTGGCGGGGCCTTTATATAAGGAGGTTATGTCAAAACACAATAATGATTATTTGCAGCCACCAAAATCCCGTATGCCACATTAGAGCCCTTTCGATTGGAAAATGCGATTAACCCCTTCAAAATACTAGAAATTGGGAGTGTCCTTTGTATGGGAACTATTTCAAAACATAAACGTGTGTTGATAATTTTTTCGAGGAATAACAAATTTAATATACAACCTACCTTATGGTATGAAAATATATATGACAGGAAGATATAAATATGTATATTCCACTCTTATAAAAATTCACATTTGTGAAAATATTTGAAAAACAATTTGACCATCCCTTTTTTAATATTTATTGTGGTCAATTTCATTATACCCTACACAACTATGTTGTCAGGGTATTATAGCTTTGTGCAGCCCAAAAATCGTCATATCTCGACTAGCTGAGTCGATCTAGACATGTGTGTCCGTCCGTCTGTCCATTATAATTTGTAAACACGATACTGGCCACAGTTATGGACCAATCTTCACGAAATTTTGCATGTAGGATGGGTTCTGGCCAATGAAGACCCCTATTGTTTTTGGGAAAGATCGGTTAATATTTAGGGGATGAATTGGACCAAATACTAAATTTTTGTCGGTTTTTCTGGTCTCTCCAGAGACCGCAATAATGGCCCGAACATTTTGCATGGAGAAGGGGAATGCCTGTTTTGATAAAGATCGGTCAATATTTAGCGGGTCAAATGGACTCCGACTTTTGTGTGAAAAATGACAAAATTTTTATTCTATAGCGTATATATTTACCCCTGAAGGACATAGACCCGAGAAGTTGATATTATATCCAAGAGGAGTGATTGACCTTTAAACTAATACCAATTATATTGTTGTATGTTCTCGGATGTGGGAGTTACACCTAAATATTTAAAGTTATCTCCGTATTCGTATATTATTTAGTAACCCATTATTACTCTAGAGAGCGGAACTATAGTGCTGATCGCTTTGAAATGTTCCATGAGGTTCCGGTTATGGTCAAGGACAACGCCTATAATTTTCGGTGATGATCAGATAATAATTTTGGAATGAAGTGGACCGAAAACTTAATTTTTTCTGTTATTTTCGAGTCGATCTATAGACCACAAATGAAAGCCGAACGTCTCAACACAACCCACGGTGAAAGGAATCTGGACAATAGCTGTACTGAATACTCGTAATATTCGGTGTAAGAAAGAGGTGCTGTTTACCTCCAATCGGGCAAGAGGGTGCAATATCACGAAATATTGCCCAGGCTCGGAATAAACATCCACAGAAAGTTCGGTCTCCGTGGTAGTTGTATAGGGTATCGTATGGTCGGCCCCGTCCGACTATACTGCTCCGATCACTGGTTTTAGATTTCTTTTTGGATTATATAGTTCTCTGGGGAGTTTCACACAAGCGAAGTTACATTTTTTCACAAAAACAACAAATACCAGACTAAATTTGTTTTTATAAAAATATTCACTGTCCATTATTTGGACATTATTATCACTTTATTTTAAGGATATTTATCCCTTTATTTCCTGCGCCGATATCAAAATTGTGCAATGTGCGTTGGCATTATTTCGATACGAAATATTTATTTATATTTTTTTATTATTTATCAACAGGATTTTTCACACTTTACTTACAAACTTGAACATTTTGTTTAAAAAGGATTTTTTTCGAAAAAAAAAATAAAATTTGTTGGAGATAGTTCTGATGGCTAACAGAGTTAACTTGAGTTTGGATAACTTGTTCCAATTGCAAATAGTATTTATAGCCGAAAAAATAATATGCTTAACTTATATTTTTTTCTGCCGAACGCTAAATGAAAATGAGGGAAAAATCTTAGACATAAAGTAAGGCAGTAATCTGAAGCGGCAGTAGTAACAGCAGCGACAGCCAACAGTCAACATAACCGCTTCTAGATGTTGCTGCAACAGCACAGTAACCGGTATCGGAATTGGTGGTGGTTGCTTGAACTGCAACATTTTGTTGCTGACACATTATCAACACGAATAACAATTTAAGAAGTCAAGAAATTCATTGCATGTTGTCCTCTTTAATTTTTATTAAAGACCAACGAGAAAAAATCCAAAATCGCCAAGCTGGAAAAACAGCTGTTGTTTGGGAAAAAACACAGCGAAATAAAATTACTTTTACTATTTCAAATTATTTTTTATTTCAGTGTTATTGTAATGCATTGTTTTAGAGGCAGTTTAGTCACATAAACAATATTTGAATTGGTAAGAGTTTGGGATTTTTTTTCTTCTTTTGGCCAGAGTAAAATACTCTTATGATGATCTCGAGTTGTTGTTAATACTGGGTGTTAGCTGTTCACCGCTGTACTTCGCTGCTATTCACTTGGGGTTTGGTTTGGCTCAGTGTCAGATTAAAGTTAATTTGAAAATAAACACAACAACAAAGACAGAATATGACCCGGTTAAAAGGAAGTTGTTTTACCAAATTGGACAAAATATAATTTGAATTGCATATTTTTTGTTAAAAAAGCTTATTGTTACACAAAAATCAACATTCACCATATTTGGTGAGTTGTAGCTGTGGTGGCAAATATTTCGTAATTTGCTTTATTAACATAGCAGTGAAATACTTTTTTATGAACTCATTTATTATTGGTGGAGTCAATTTGTTGTTTTGTAGGGCAGGTGAAAGGTTACTGGAAATTTGTAGTTGTGTTGCATAAATTGCATTATGCCACATAATTTGTAAACATAAAATGATTAATTTGGCAGGAAGCAATATTAGGAATGAGGTTTTGATAAAACGCAAAATATTTATTTCAGGATCACAATTATTATACTAACTTCTTTCTGGATCGGGGGAATATTTAATTTAATTTACATTTTTTCATAGGCCATAATTAGGTATAATACTTTTAAATATTTTATTATGGGATGTCATTTTTAAGACCACACTGTGGTACAGGGTATTATGACTTTGTACATATGTTTGTAGCAGACAAAAGGAAACGAGATAGGCACATGGTTCCTTTTGAGAATATGCATAGAATAACTTTCTAAGTCGATTTATGCATGTCCGTCCGTCTGTCTGTCTGTCCATGTTAAATTGTGAACAAAGTACAGGTCGCATTTATTATTCGAATTGGATGAAATTTGGCACAGCTCATTCATTTGGCCCAAGGACGAACCCTATTGAAATTGGGAAAAATCGGTTCAGGTTCAGATATAGCTCTCATATATAGTTTCGTCCGATTTTATGTAAATGGTGTACCAAAGTCCTTATATATCTTTAAATTTTGCACGAAATTTGGCACAGCGTACGGAATTATGTCTAGAATGATGTGCGCTAAATTTCGTGAAAATAGGTTCAGATTTAGATATAGCTCCTATATATACTTTCGTCCGATTTGATGTAAATGATGCACCAAAGTCCATATATATACTTCGATTTCCACGAAATTTGGCACAGCGCCCGGAATTATGTCTAGAAAGATATGTGTTAAGTTTCGTGAAAATCGGT